AGGGTTGCGATCCCGTTACCGGTCAGTAAAAAAGACAAAAAGGAAAAAAAAAAAAAAACTATCCTGAGCCACAACTCTGCCCATGTCCTTGTGTTCTTGCAGAGGGTTGCGATCCCGTTACCGGTCAGTAAAAAAGACAAAAAGGAAAAAAAAAAAAACTATACTGAGCCACAACTCTGCCCATGTCCTTGTGTTCTTGTAATGATTAAATCAACTGAATTTTCTTGTGAAACTTCCTTGTCTTTACAATCAAAGGAGAAGCTAACTTTGAATCGAGGCTGTCACATTCAGTTTTCTCCTCCTAATGGGGACATTACTGAAGTGCAGTCCTTCCAGGCTTCTCAATGCACACATAGTGCCTTGAGTAATCACATAATTATTTTTTGCATCTCCATTACACAGGGGGAAGTGGAACAACAAACCAAAGCACAAGCTTTACTGAGGACCTCAAAGTTCACAGATGAATTGAGGATCCACTTGAACCAGAGACATGTAGGGAAGCAGACTGTAAGGACCACAAAGTTCTCTTTCTGGCTCTGCCGCTTAAGAACTATACAATCTTGGGAAGGAAGATGCCTTGGGGGATGCAAGGTGGCTCTGGCCCACCCAGAGCTGGGTGGATACAGAGTGGGTCTGGGTTGAACATTTACTGGGCAGAAAAGATTCGGAGGCGAGACCAAGCTAATTCTCTCTCCCAGGAACTGAATCGGAACATGACTTTCCCATGTTTTTCCCTGTGAGTCATTTGATTGGTCCCCTTGAATGTTATGACAGTGGGGGCTGTATGGCCATTTCAACCAAAAAGAATAATGAAGATAAACAGAAGCGAAAAAGAGAATCCCACATGCTGAGGAAAAGAAAGAGCTGGAGAACACGGGCAGCGAGAAAAAACAGACAGATATACAACCTTCCGGGTTGCTAAGAGATCTCTCTTCTTGGTTCAAGTCCCTTGTACGGCTTGACTATAATTCCTGCCCTTATATCCCACACAATTACCCTGTATCCTTTTTTTCTTCATTTTGGCTAATTTGAGGGGATTTCTGGTGCTTACAACTGACTGATACATGCCTAAGAAACTTTAGTAAGTATTGAATTAACCTCCGTAAGACTCTGCCTGCTCACCTGTAAAATGGGAATTTATTCATTGGTTCAATACGTAGTTATTGAGTGCCTACTATTTGCCAAGTACTAACTAGGGAATAGGGAAACACTGGTTAGAAATTCCATGGAGCTTACGGCAGAGTAGGAGACATAAGCCTTAATGGATACATTAATTACAAGAATAAATGTAAACTTACAACTGGAGTCAGTGTTATAACTAAAGAAGTACATGATATAATAAGAATATACTCAAGGGGGACTGACTTAACCAGAAGCCTAAGAAGGCATCTAAATAGAATGTAACAAGGCAAAATAAGAAGAGAAAGGCATCCTAGGCAAAGCGAGCCTTATTGACAAAGACTCCTAGGAGAGGAGTGTGGTTAATATGAGGAACTGAAAAAAAAAAAAAAAGACAAGTGGGAAGGGGGAGAAGATGGGAAACAGTGACACGGAATGAAACTGGACAAGAGGGCTGGAGTCAAAACGCCCAGAGCTGTGTGCCAGGATGAGTATTTTGATCTTTATTCTAAGATACCTACTTTAAGATCAATGGCCAGTTTTAAATAAATAGATGTCATGGTCAGATCTGCCCTTGAAAATATGCTGGCCACACACAGTGTGGAGAGTGGATCAAGAGAAGCAAGAGCGGATACAGGTTGACCAGGTAGGAGGCTGTCGTGACAGTCCAGAGCAAAGGACCAGATACAGAGGCAAAAATGAGGAGTTTGATTTAAGATGCACTGAGTTGAGGCATCTTGAAATGGCCAAGATGAGACTGACATCTCATCTCAATGGCTACTGAGTATACCTGGCAGGGAAGTCTAGATCAGGAATATACATTTGTGAGTCAATGAGACCAGTTTGTAATCTTCATGGAAGACGTGAGCATAGGTGAGTCTGCCAAGGGAGCGATGATGGCATGAGAAGAGGAGAGTACCTGGAGGTGTCCAGTTGTTGGTGACTGGCGTGGAGGAGGATGGGCCACA